ATGGCACGGCCGGTTAAGAGGCAAGCACCAGCAGGAGTAGTACAAGTAGCACAAGATGACATTAAGGAGGAACACCTTTTGGCTTTCATTGCGAAGAAGGAATATAGTAATGAGGATAAATGCAAACAAGAACTCAAGAAATATTGTGAAGAGTTGAAGGAAGCAGATGGTAAATTCAATGTTAATGATAAAGTTAAAGAACTTTGTGGTGGTGGTGATGAAGCAAAACGAGATAAAAAATGCAAAGACCTGAAAGACAAAGTTGAACAAGAATTGGAAGATTTTGATGTGGAACTTGATGCATTGTCAGATGACATACAAGATGAAAAATGTGAAAAATATGAAGAAAAATGTATACTTTTAGAGGAAGCAGACCCAAATAGTCTTAAGGAGAAGTGTGTCAAGTTGAGGGAGAAATGTTACAAATTGAAGCGTGAAAAGGTGGCAGTGGAGCTTCTTTTGAGGGCGCTCGGAAAGGATGCTAAAAAAAATGAATGTCAAGTAAAGATAAAAAATGTTTGCTCAGTGTTAAGCCGAGAAAGCGACGAGCTGATGTTTTTCTGCCTTGATCCGACTGGAACGTGTAAAACATTGGAAAAAAGATTGAAGGATCTTTGCGAGCCTTTAAAAACAAAATTGGCGAAAGATTTAGAAAAAGATTGTCATGAAAGACTTGAGAAATGTCATTTTTACAAAGAAGCGTGTGATGATTCAAAGTGTGATGAGGATAAGGATCAATGCGAGAAAAAAAAAATCACATATAAAGCGCCGGAATCTGATTCTAGTCCGGTCAAGCCGAAGCCGTCGTTGTTAAGAAGTATTGGGTTGGATGATGTGTATAAAAACGCGGAAAAACATGGGATTATTATTGGAAAATCAGGAGTGGATCTACCAAGGAAGTCAGGTACAAAATTTCTGCAAGATCTCTTGCTAGTCTTGAGCAGAGATGAGAATGATAAGGATGCGGGGAAGAAATGCACCGAAGCGTTAAAAAAATGCAAAGATCCTAAGTATTTGGATCATAATTTGGAAGAGTTATGCGATAAAAATGATAACGACAAATGCAAAGAATTACTAGATGTAAATGTAAAAGAAAGATGTACAAAACTCAAACTAAATCTTTATGTGAAAGGGTTGTCTACACAATATGATAATAAAAAATCAGATCTTTTATCGTGGGGACAGCTTCCAACATTATTTACGAAGGGAGAGTGTGCAGAACTTGAGTCGGAATGTTTCTATTTAGAAAATGCGTGTAAAGATAATGAGATTGGTGAAGCGTGTCAAAATCTACGATCAGCGTGCTATAAAAAGGGACAAGACAGGATGTTGAATAAGTTCTTTCAAAAGGAATTGAGGGGAAATCTTGGTCTTGTAAGATATCGTAGCGATCCTGGTGATTGTAAAAAATATGTAGTGGGAAACTGTACAAAACTTGATAAAAAATATCTTCCACGATGTCTTTATCCTAAAGAACTATGTTATGGGCTTTCAAATGATATTTTTCTTCAATCCAAAGAGTTAAGTTCGCTTTTGGATGATCAAAGGGATTTTCCATTAGAAAAGGATTGTCTTGAATTGGTGGAGAAGTGTGATGAACTTAGTAGTGATTCATTATTGAATTTAGAAAAGTGTATAACATTGAAAAGACGCTGTGAATACTTTAGAGTTTCAGAGAGATTTAGAAATGTATTTTTAGAAAAAAAGGATGATTCGTTAATGACTCAGGAAAACTGTACAAAGGCATTGCATGAGAAATGTAATACTTTATATAAGAGGAGAAAGAATTTATTTAGTGTTTCATGTGCTTTACCAGAAGAAACATGTAGTTATATGGTATTCCACACAAGTCAAGATTGTAAATATTTAAAAGAAAACATCAAGAATGGAGAAATTGTAGGAAAAATTGAAAAAGCAAAAGGAAATGAAGCAACACTCGAAGAACTCTGCACAACATGGGGCCGACATTGTCATCAACTTGTGGAGAACTGTCCAGATCAGTTGGGAAAAGAGAATGGCAATGGCAATAATCATAACTGCGAAGCACTCGATGAAAAATGCAAGGAAACCTTTCAAAAGTTGAAAGCGAAGGAGGAGCTGACTCATCTGTTGAAAGGCAATTTAAAGGAGGATAATCAATGTAAAGAAGCATTAAAAAAACATTGCACTGGGTTGCAGAATAATGATACATTCAAAATTCTGCTTACTAATTGTGAAGATAATACCAAGGGAAATGTTTGCACAAAATTAGTTGATAAAGTAAAAAAGAAATGTCCTACTTTAAAAACCGATCTAGAGGAAGCGAAAAAAGAGTTGAAGGTCAGGAAAGAAGAATACGATGCGCTCAAACAGGCGGCAGAAAAATCTACAAAGGAAGCTAAGTTATTGCTATCAAAGTCTGGAAAAGCCGCAATGCCAACTGCGCAGAATGGCAGTGATTCTACACTAGTACCGCCACCACAACAAGCACCAGCAGGGTCATCAGGATCAGGGTCACCACCAGCAGTGCCACCACCACCACCACAAAATGGAACGCCAGACACACCAGATGGAACATCAGGCACACCAAGTGGAACACCAAGCACAACAGGTCAAACGAAGAATAATGCAAAACTTGGACTCGTTAAAAGAGCATATGTAGATGGAGGAGTATCAGAAGCAGAGGTAAAAGCATTTGATGCAACGACGGTAGCATTGGAGATGTATTTGGAATTGAAAGAGGAATGCAGCGCTTTACAACTAGATTGCGGTTTTAGAGAGGAATGTCAGGAATCTAAACAAGCTTGCGAAAAAATAGACGAGTTATGCGGAGGAATAAAACCATTAGAAATTAAGCCTCATCATACAGAGACGCAAAAAGAAATCTCAACCACTACGACGACCACTACGACGACTACTACCACAACTACTACCACAACTACGACGACAACTACTACTACAACCAAGCCGGGAAGTGGAGGAAAAGTAACAGAAGAGTGTACAATGATACAAACAACAGATACATGGGTAACGCGTACGTCATTGCATACGAGTACGACAACGAGTACGTCGACAGTGACGTCGACAGTGACGTTGACCTCGATGCGCAAGTGCAAGCCTACCAAATGTACCACCGATTCAAACAAAGAGACAGATAAAGGAGGAGAAGAAGGAGAAGAAGATGTAAAACCGAATGATGGGATGAAAATAAGAGTTCCTGATATGATTAAAATAATGTTGTTGGGAGTGATTGTTATGGGGATGATGTAAA